ATTATATTTTAAGTTTATAAAAAAAAAGTATAAAACTTTTATACGTAATTTATCGATATTATTTCGTAGGCATTGTTACATGATGCCCCCATCCATTTGGTGCATTTCTTCTATATCTCAAAATTTTATCTTATCCTAATCTCTAACCTTTACCCTTACTCTAATTTAAAGAAATTAAATTAATCTTAATTATTAAAGGCATCAAATGCATGGGTGTACCGTTTAACATTTCTTTATTGGGCAAGAAAAAATTCTTATGTAGTTCTTTATATAGCCTTTATTAAGTTTAATGATTTGAACCGAAATACAATTATGCTGACTAAGGGGTTCTCCAACACAGGTTCCGTTTATGGATAAGCAAATTAATTTTGTAAGTAATAATGACCTATGATTAGGGATGGGAACGGGTAGCCCAACGGGCCCAACGGGCTTTTTTTGGAGGACATGATAAATTACCACGTGACCAGTGTTTTGAAAGATGGCCCGAATTTAATTTCCAAAAAAAGCCCGTTGGACCCGTTGGGCTACCCCTACCTATGATTTGTTCCTTTCTTAATATTAAGTAATACAGTCAAACCTATCTACAGTCACGCCCTCGGTTCCAAGAAATTCTGTGCTTATAAGAAATTGTGCCTGTATAAGGTCAAATATGTTTATATACGTTTGTTCTAAAAATTAGTGAACTTATAAAGATGGTGTGGCTATATGAGAGTGACTGTATGGAGGGCAGACTGTAATAAGTAATTATTACATTCTATTACTTACATATGTATACATACTTGTGAAATGAACTTGTCAGTGAACTAATTTGCCAGTGAAATGAACGGAACTAGAGATAGGTAAAATTATTATTTATTCCTAACATTCATTTTTTTAAGATTTTTTTGCAGTAGGTAATAATAAGTAATTTTCATTCAATCTCAGTTTTGATCACTCACTTCCAACTGGTATATATGTATCACGAACCTAGCATAACTACCAACGTACGAAGTTTCAAATAATATTTCTGATATCGATTGATATAACGATTTCTGTAATTTACTCATATGGGCTGAACTCATTTGAGTGATGTTAAAGAGTTTATTTTGAAGATCACCTAAAATTTGTACCAATCAGATCTACATAGGTGATATTTTCGTATAATTGTACAACAAAATATGCCAATCAGATTATTTAATTACTAGAAGGCTCGAGAAATATAAGTTTGTAATGAGCTGGTAATGAGCTGGTAATGAGTAGGTAATGAGTTTTGACCGTAAGTTTAAAATAATATACTTTTTATACATATAAATATAATAATTGGTTTTTTTTTTGGTTTAATACTTTTTTTACCGACTCTAACGTAGTTTTTTTGTTTTGATACAGTGCAAACGAAAATTACTATGGAAAACGTATTCGCATACTTAAAAATATAAAATAGTGCTATAGAACTTATGTTTAAAAGATTTTTATGAATTTTTTATTAAAAAATTATATAAATATCGCGTATTAGTTATTCTTATTCATGAGAAGGTGCTGTGTTGTTATTGTCGTATCAGTATTAGTATTGAAGTATTATTAGGTATCACATTTATATCACATGAAATGAGTCCGATCAGCCCATATGTTTTAAATTATTATCTGAAAAAAAGAAAACCAATTGTTTTTATGTACCTAAGTATAAAACATTGTTTATTCTGTACATCAAACCGGACTGTATTAAACGCTTAAATAAAAAAGATAGAAGGAAATATAGAAAACAAAATGAGGAAAGTAATAGTCAAATGTAATAAAATGTTGTAGATTTTGGGTGTGATAATTTTTAAAAAAGTAATGAAGTCTTACCACACGTATTATTAAAAACAGAAGAATATTCAATAGCTATACGCAATTATTTATTTTATTTATTTATTTTTATTTTTAATTATTCTAAGATTTTATGTTGGGGGCCCATAGTAAAAGCAAGCAGTGGGCCAAAAGTTTTTTTTAAAAAAATCAATTTCTTGAAGAATTAGAATTACAAAATCAAAATCTTTGGCCCACTGCCTCATTAACTGTGGGAGTTACCATTTATTAATTTACTAAAATTAAAATTCTAATAATTTAAATTCAACACAATTCAAATTATATAAGCTGAACAAAGTAGGATATAATTCGTACATTAATACCAATTGAAATGAATAGACTTCACGACTGCTTTAGCTGCCATAGTTACTTTAGCTCTTTATTACATAGGATTCTTTCTAGCAATTTCTTAAAAGTGATGAAGATCATAATGTAATAATTGAAGTAGAGATGGAACTTGTTTATCTGAAGATCCGGATACGTAATCCGCATATGACAAATCATTCGGATAAAATAGTGATTTCAGATAATTAATCGGATTATCCGTTGACTGATTGAGATTTAACTCGAGCTGATTGAGCTTTAATTCGTTTATCGTCATAAAAAACCATGATAATTAGCATCTGCACGAAATAATTTTTTGTTATCCGAATTATTCAAATATCTGTCGGGGTTAGACAAGAACGGATGAACAGATACAGATAAACTCCGTTTTATCTGAACGGATATACGGGTCCCATCTCTAAATTGAAGTTGGTCAAATGCCAAACCGTCAAATTTTTAAGGTACATATATTTATTTTGAATCCTCGTGTCTCATTAATCTTCATGAAAAGTTGACTAAAACAGGTTATAATCAAAATCATGTTAAAAAAAATGTATACGCCATATTTCTGCTGATAATTTTAAAATTATTATTATGTAAGGTATAATTACAATTGTTAAATTATATTTAGATTTATAATGATTGTCGAGATGATGCCGAAATCAGGTAGTGCTGAAATTTGGTCTTGACTTGGAAATATAAATTCTACTAAAATCCACATATACTTTTTTATTATAAACTCTAGCCCTAAACCCAATTTAATCCTAACTCAGTCATAAAAAAAAACTAGAAAAAAGACACCAAAATTCAAAATTTCATTATTAAAATAATTTCAAATTTCAGCATCATCCCGACAATTATTAAGCATAATTTTAAGTATCCTTTTACTATATGTATATAGGTATATTTATGATAGCATAGTCTATTTAATAATATCGATGCATCTACAATCCTCACGTTTAGCTAGTGCTAATGAATTTGATCTTGAAGAATTGGTTGATATTGCGCGAACGCACATGCATCGTAGATGCGTCGAAAATTTTTCGAAAAGACTCGGATCTCCCTTTTGAGACTTGACAATTTACAAATAGATGAAAGGAAATTTGGATTAAGTCAATTGATGAGGAATTGCTCAAAACCACACTTGAATTCTAATCCCACACAATGGTCTGGCGTAAAATTCTTAACTTTAGAAACTAGAGGGTCTGACCACACGTTGCTTAAACAATAATGTGAAAGTTCTTTATAAGTATATTGCTATACAAGTTCGCCATTTCATAACTGTATTTTGATCAAAACTTACAAAATTACTTTCTCTATATGTACAAGCTATTTAAATGCATATTAATGATTTGATTTCAAGATTATTTATAAAGGTCTAACTATAATATAATATTTGCAAAGTTATATAAACATACTCGAACAATTATACAATTTTAAATGTCAGGAATAGTCATATCAGCAAATTCTTCAGCCTCTTCAATAGAATACTGATTTGAAGTATCATAAATATCAAAATTACTAGTATTGCTTTTTGGAGATTCAACTTCACCCAAATCTTCTTCAGAAATGTCCGAAATATCATCATCATCCTTTGGTTTATATTGCAACCAATCTTCAGGATTTTCAGCATGTTTAGTTGCATCTTCACACCATTTTTTTAATGTTTTACCATTTAAAAATACTATTACTAAAATTGACATATCATCAATACAAAATCCTGATTGAGAAACTAAATCACAAAGTCTGACTAATTCATTACAAGCTGCCGTTAGTGGATCTGCCGAATTTATGTGTTGTTTAATATAACTTAATAACACTTGTGTTGGCATTCTTCTATATGCTCTAAGACGATTTGTAATACCTGTATAAAAATTTTTTATTAGAATTTATGTATGTTTTAAAAGTCAAATAATAAAAATTTACCATCAGAGCAAAGAACAAGTAGATTTAATTCTTTTGTATTAAATTTTTCTGTAATTTCTGGTTCAGCTATTAAAATAATAAAATTTAAGCAAATTATACGTAAAAAAAAATTAATTATAAAATTTGAATTTACATATTAAACTTTTTGGTCCCTTTTCTTTAATATAAAAATCTCCGAATGAACGTGTATACTGCATTCCACGACTAAATGTATTATCCACTATTAATTAAAAATTTAATTAATAAGATGATTATTTTAACTATATTTTTATATTTTTATAATGATTTTAATCTTGTACTTACATGCCCAAGATTTTTCCCTTCTTCCAGGAGCCAATCTATAAATTGAAAAACCTACACCATCTTTTTCCCTTTTTTGTTGTCTTAACCTTAAAATTTCATCTAAATAAAATCATTACAAAAATTAAATTAATGTAAAAAAATAAAATATAATGTAGAATACTAGATACCTTTATTATGTACATCATGTTCTTTTGTAATTTGAACAGAAAACACTTTATTTGATGAAATAAAACCAGGCGAATCTCCTAAATTTGCCTAAAAATTAAAATATAATTAAATAAATATACTTTTTTTAAAATAAAATTATAAAGTTAAAACACTACATTATTAAAAATTTACGTACAATAAATAACTCTTTTGTAGGTGCTAATACTGCTATTAGTGCTGTGCATCCGGCATCCCGTGATTCTTTAACAAGATCTAATAAAGAAATTATTTAATTGCTAAGCAAATAAATTAATATAAAAATTATCATCTAAAACTATTTATATACGGATAAAATAAGTACTTGATTTCATATATTGTTCCGTTTCTTTAAATCCTTTATTTATAGCATTTATGATATTTTCGTTTTTAGAATTGCTTGATAAATGTTTGGCAATATTTTTTGGTAGTTGCACAGAACATATCTTTGAAAGGTGCTGCTTTCCATCCTTTCCATTTACTAATCCGTTTACTATTTTAAAAAATAACAAATATAAAGATTTTATATCATATAAATATACATTTAAATATTCAAATGAATAAAAATTAATACCTCCATGTCCATCAAAAACACCAAAGAAATAATATTTTTTTTCAAAAACAACAGATATTGAATCTTCAGTTTCTATTAATTTATAAAATCCAATGCAAAAAATTCAAACTTAGAACATTTTATTTACTAAAATAAATCATATTGAATAATTTGGAATAGGTTTACCATTGCTGAACGATCTTGCCTTTGGAGACCAACCATTTTTTTCACATGAAATTATGAGCAAATCTTTAAACTCCCAAAACTTTATCACAGAATATTCATCCTCCTCAATCCACTTCGGTTGCGTCATTATTTGTTTTTTTTTTTTATTTTTGCAAATGTTTCAAGATATATAAAAGGGAATTCAATAATTATAAGTAACTTGTCAAAATTTTATCACCCCGTTATTTTAAGTGACGTAAAGTTTTTTGCTCTTTTTTTTATGTCTACCTGTATTAAATAATGAGAAGAATTGAAATTGTACGTAAATATATAATATCAGGTATTTTAGGTTTTTTTGCAAAACTGTGTGAAACATGTTACGGAGTTTAATTAAACCCAATTGGTTTTGTTTCGGAACTCTGATTAAACCGCCGCAAGGCGTAATTCAAATGTTATGTATGAGTTTACTTACGTCATTTACGGGCATACTAGACTAGTTCACTGTCGCCCAGCTGTTAATCAAAAAGGATAAAAAGAATTATAAAAGGCCAAGGATTAAATCACGGAGTTTTATTATATTAGTGTGTATTCGTACGTACGTACGTACTTATGTGCTTTCTTAAATAAATTGCACAACAATAATTACTACATAAATATGCTATTCCTTACCGGATTTAGACCACAACAGCATGTAAACAATGTTGTACGTACATAATACGTACGTATCCAGGGGAGACCGTCCCAAATTAGGGGTCCGCTAAAGCCTTGTACCCACGTGACTTTTCTATGTAGATCACCAATCAAAATCATGAGACGGATCGCCCGAAGAAATCAAAAAATCAAAAAAACGAAAAAATATGAAAAACGGCAGTCTAAACCTGTCTTGGTACATTAATA